ACTTGGGTTACTTACCATCTCTCTGTGGTCACTCTCAAATCTACACCTGACAAGAAAATCTACACCTACCCAAGTAGAGGTAGGAGAAGAAAAAAATCTGTGAGCTGAGGGCAGAACCCCAACCTTTATGAAATATCCAGGGGATAAGAAGCCCATCAGATTTGGCATTAAAGTAACAAACATAGATGAGAAAGGCCAGGTTTCTATTTGCTCTTCAGATCAGGTTTTGCCGATGAGAAACAAGGAAGCACAGAAGTAGAGCAGTTAAAGTCTGGGTTCAAATCTACTATCTGCCACTTAGTCCTTTTGTGACAGTTCTCAAGTTACTATCTATGAAATGTGAATATGCCCCAGGCACTGCTCTCACTCTTGTGAGCATTTCATGGGTCAATCCACAAAGCACCTACATGGTACAGTGCCAAGCAAGTAACGTGGGCCCCCAAAACATTAGATATCATCACCAATGGTACACAAATCATAAAGTTGCTTTTTATCCAACTGTCATATTTTGCCAGTTGAAAAAAATGGTCAGGAAATCTACTGGCTAGAAAAAATAAACTAAGATGGAAATTAAACAATTCTATGGAAAAGCCACTAAAAGAATTCACAAGTAGACTCTGGAACTGGGATTGCCAGGCAACAGTGAGTCACACCTGTGATCAGTTACTTAGGAGTCTCAGGTTCTAGGCCAGTCCAGGCAAATAGTTCAAGAGACCCCATCTCCAAAATAACCAGAGCAAAATGGACTGGAGGTGTGCCTCAGAGATTGAATGCCTGCTTTTCAAGCATGAAGACCTGAGTTCAGACCCTAGACCCACTTCTCCACTTAAAGAAAAAAAAAAAAAAAAAGAACTGGTGTTTTCCATAAATGTATGTGGTATAGTATAAGTAAATGAGAGTAGTAGCAGTTGGTTAAAATAACCCAGCATGATACAAATGTTGGCATTTGAGTTACAAGATTGCATCATTTTTTCTTTTGTTTTACTCTAAATATTCAGAATCTGGCTCCAGTGCCTTGCACAAAGTGGGCCCTTAACGTGGTGACCAAAGATAACAAAGTGATTTATGGTTTTGGTTTGAACTCAGGGCCTCCCACTTGCTAGGCAGGCACTTCTACCACTTAAGCCACACCTCCAACCATTTTTGCCTTAGTTATTTTTCAGGTAGCGTCTCCTGGTTTTTTTTTGCTGGGTCTGGACCTGGGCCTCCCATGTAACTGGGAGCACAGTGTGTGCTTACTGGCTGAGAGAAGGTCTCGCTAGCTTTTTATTGGGCTGGGCTGGAACCATGATTACTGTCTCCCAAGTAGCTAGGATTAGAGGCGTGAACCACCATATAGGGCTTAACAAAGTAATACTTATATTTTGGGTGATGAAATAGGAATTTCCTAGCTATAAACCAGATTACTCACCCATGCATAGAGTAATAACTAATGAAATAATAAAAACAACTTCAAAGTTTAGTGTTTTATATTGCTTACACTATAGGATTCATAAAAGGAGTTTAATTAAAATGTATTGGATTAATGAACATTTGGGAAATATGAGCTTTATTTTAAATTTATGAGGCCTAAGGAAACTAAAAAATGTCAACTTAATTCTTGTGCCTAGAAACTAAAGCACATATGAAATATGCAAACACCAGCCTTATTGCTATACTTTTCTGATAATTTTACAGTCTCAAATACTACTTATTTCATTTTCTTGTGATTTTGTTCTTCATGATTCTCTCTGAGTTTTAATAATGGTAATATTAGGAAAACAAATTCCAAATCTTTCCAGAATTTCAGTGTGAGGTTTCATAGTTGGGGCAAGTTATCATTGTGTAAATATCAAAGTATTTACACAATGATAAATAAATGTGGATAATTTATCTAATAGACCAAATTTACTCCTGGAGATAAGGTGTAAAACGTTTAGAAAGAGTTTTAGTATGTCACGAAATACAATGTTACAGCTTATTTAATCCAAATGTAGTTGACCATATAAAGATACATTTGCACAGAATGATTAAATTAGCAGCTTCTTTGGTCACATGCGAACAATTGAACTTTAAAAAATGTTACATCTATATGTAATATGTCTAAAAACATATGGGTTTATTTAAAATTTAAAAATTGAAATTCTTGCTTTTGTAACACAAATTAGGTTTTAACCTTTACTATAGTAAATGAGTGTCAGATAATGAGCACCAGTTATCATGTTTCCATTCTTTTAAAACACCAAATATTATTTAATCATAATATACAGAAATCTTATGTAAATGAAATTTTGTCAGTGTCAGATAAAAAAGAACTGAAGTAGAAAAAAATAGAAATGGTAACACACAATTACTTAATGTTTAATTTAAACATTTGGGGAAAAGCTAATTGTGCATTGAGCCATTTTAGCCATTTAAAGTCTTTGGTTCCTCTAATGAGATCACTACTGAACAAAATTGTTTCCTCCTGTTTTGTTTTTAAACGACTATTAAAATAAATTATTTCCTTCTTGTTAAATAAATTACATCTTCCTTTTATGGCAGTCCTTAATGTAAAAATAAAACATTCCATTCTAGAAATCATACTCCAGCTTTCTTACTGGATGATCTACTAAGTTTTCACTTTCCACCCTAAAAAATGGGTGGGGAAGGTTCCAGCAGATTCCAGGCCATTCTTAAAGTTGTGAGCTGTGAATAGTGACTCACACGTGTAAATCCAGCACTCAGAAGGCTAAGTCAGGAGAAAGGATTGAGTTTGAGGCCAGCCTGGGCTACACAGTGAGATCCTGTTTTTTTGTTTTTTTTTTTTTTGTCATTTTTCACTAGTACCTAAAATCAAAGTGATAGTGAATACTGAAATACAACTTCTGCTTGCCTATTCCTCATTCAGAATAGGAAAGTCGTTGACATTCTATGTGTCTCTTTTTCTATCCTTAACAAAATAGTAAATAAAACCAAGCAAGATTGAACTTAAAGGGAAAAAAATGATTCCTTTAATATAGCAATTTACCAGTATTTATCCCTGATATGGAAACTTCTGTTAATTACTATTCCTAAAGTTCATATCCAAAATGATGGGGGTTAAAGCCTTAGCTTTAATTTTTTTCCTACATCTGAGTATAAATAACAGACTAAAGGTGAACATCATGGAATCTGTCATTGCCAAATGATTAGTGAATGTATAGTTCAGGTTTGCTATTCTTTGAGACACATAACATTACTAATTTCTTAATTGTACTTCAATTTTTTGATATGTGTTTGTGACCACTAAGTTTCTGACTTATTGTAAAGCTGTTACCTCTACAGAATCTTGCAGAACTTTGTAGAAAAGTCTGAAGATGCAAAGAGAGAATGGGCCTTGTGTAAGAGAGGATTATCTTTTTTTTAATGCTTCTTACTGTGATCACAGAAAATAAAAAACCCAAGTGTGCTGTAGATTTCTTGATAAACATTTTATGCTTGCATTTAAACTTGTATAAGCAGAATGAGACAATCAGTTAAAATCAGAAATGAGAAGTATGTAGTTTAATGGCCTTGTTTCACAGTAGCAATAAAATGACCAAGTGTAATGACTTGGTAAAACCGTATTTTAAAAGTTGCTGCTATGAATATTTTTAGCCACAAAATTGCACCCTTCTTTTAGCCTGACTTGCTTTTGATAGCTATAAAGTGATGCAGTTGCTTTGATAATCTAATATTTCAAAAACTCCACATATATATGGAATCTCAAAATAGTCTACTTTTTATAGGTGCTGTTAAAAACATGCTTTCCCTTAAAAAAAAAATAAAAAAGAACTGTATTGCCCACCCCCAAAAAAGAAATAAAGGGGGGATGATGATCTTATTTTTATTTATTTTTTTTATTTACTTTTTGCGTATTGGGGTTTGAGCTCAGGGTCTACAACTTGAGCCACTCCGCTAGCCCTTTTTTGTGATTTCCCCCCCCCCCAAATAGGGCTTCGGAACTGTTTGCCCAGCTGGCTTCCAATCGCGATCCTCCTGATCTCTGCCTCCTGAGTAGCTAGGATTACAGGTGTGATCCACCGGTGCCTGCCTGGGAGATGAGTTCTTTAATCTCTATTACATGTTTCGCTATTTGAAGAATTATCCATTCATGAAAAGAATAAGATGAAGTAGGCACGGAATACGAACTGTCATTTGAGATCTCTCAAGGGTTAGGGGCCCTGCAGTTTCCTCCTGCACAACTATCTATCTGCCACATATGTGAAAATCCCAGCCTTTGGAATTGCTCAAGTGGTAGAGTGCCTGCTTAGCAAGTGTGAGGCCCTGAGTTCAAGCCCCAGTACCATTAAAAATAAATAAAAATTCCAGTCTTATATGCCCTCCTTTGGAATAAGGTTTAGAGTCCACACAAGTGGCATTAAACTGCAATTATGTCACCTGTAAATGGGAACCAAGTTGCATCTGGCAGACACCGACACATTTATCAGCTCTGATGTGTGACTAGCTGGAGGCCTAAATGTCCCGTGGAGGAAGGGCGGCTTCAGAAGCCGACACAGTGGAATCCACCTAGGCCAGGGGCAAACCACCGAGCCGGCAGGCCTGGCTTTAGGGACCAGTCATGACAAAGGCATCCCAGGGAGATCCCGCGGCGAGCCGCGGTCACGCCAGGTCTCCTCCCTGTTCCCCCTGCCACCTCTGCCCTTTAGGTCCGCACAGTCGCAACCAGAGAGTTGGCGCACAGCGATGCTAATTCTCACCCTAGCATCATCAGGGCAACCTCCAGCTCCCCGCAGACGGGACTGCGGAAGTAGCCAAATCGAGTTAAAAACTGAAATCTTTTCGCTTCAGTCACTGTAAATTCCATGCAATCTTTCACCCGTGGGCTAATATGTATTGTTCAGTTCTCTGAAGGCCCTCTACAAAAGCCCTTCGACTTTTAAATGGCAGGTTAGATGCAGCCAGGTCTCTCTTTAGACGACGGCCGCAGCTCGGCTCCACCCGCTACCGCTCCCCACAAACCCGCAAGGCCCGCGCGCGGGCCTAGCCGTCACGTCCCTTGCGTCGGGAGGCGGGGCCGAGGGGTCTGACGTCACAAGACCACGCCCCCGACGGTCGAGATATTTTGCGCGCCGCCCGCCATCTTGTCCCAGTGTTTCGCTTGCTGTCTGCTGTGCTAAAGGGTCGTTTTAGTTCGTAGGCGGAAGGCAGCATATCGGGTCTTTGTCTGTGTTTGACTCCCTAGTTTGGTCCGAGACCTTCCGGCATTTTCCCGGGGCAGCCAGCAGAAGCCGAAGCGGTCGTCCCCACCCCTCCCCTCTGTCCCCTGGCCCCGGAGGGACCGAGCTCGAGTCACGCCTCTCGGCGCTTCCCTTTTCCCTTCTCTGTTGTTGCGTCCGCATCGAGTCCCCGGAATCAGACGGTGCCCCATAGATGGCCAGCTTTCCCCCGAGGGTCAACGAGAAAGAGATCGGTGAGGAATGGGACGGCGGGTGGGCGCGCAGGGGCTGAGGAACGGCGGAGACTCCCGGAGGAGGGCGTGGAGGAAGCGCCTCGGAGCCCGGGGGTGAGGGGGGTGAAGCGCTCGAGTGCGCTGGCAGAGCCACGTTGTAGAGCCGAGAGGAGGAAGCGGCCCGCGGTGGGCGGCCGCCGGAGAGCGGAAGGACCCGCGTAAGTGCGGCGCCGGATGCGCTGGGAGCCGAACCTGGGCCCCTGCAGGGAGGGTGTGGCCGAGTTCCGGCCGACTCGAACCTGGCTCGCTCCGGGTTACGGTGTGGCCTGGGCGGGATACCACCTTCGCGGTATCCCAAGTTCTTCATCAGAGATCGGCTCAGGTCCCTTATCCTGTGGTTCTCTGCTCAGGGCTGGGGCGTCGAATGGACAGGGAGGGTTACTCGCAAGGGTTAACTGGTCTGTCTCGGCGGATAAAAGTAAACTTGTGTGTTTTCAGCTGTAATAAAAGGAGGGATTTTTCCTTTATGTCACCCACTCTTTAAAGAGAAATGTGCCCGAAGAGGTGCCAACCGCCTGGAAGATGCTGTGTGTATAATGGCAGCCGGGTGCCAGTGGCTCATAGGTGTAGTCCTAGCTATTTGGGAGGTTGACATCAGGAGGATTGCAGTAAGAGGACAGACGGGGCAAATAGTTCTCCCGACCCCATCTCAAAAATAACCAGAGCAAACTGGATTGGAGAAGTGGTTCAAGCTGTAGAGTGCCTGCTTTGCAACCATGAAGCCCTGAGTTCAAACCTCAGTCCCACCCCCTAGAAAGAGATAATGGCGAAAGTCTGCAGTTATGGGGAGGAGACACAGAATCTTTCAAATACATATGGGAGGAGCACATGGTTGGGTGGGATGACAGAAGGGAGGCTATCGTGCAAAATACCAAGTCTGGAAAGGTTTTCTCAAAACTGGCCTCGTGGTCAGACGGGGCAGTCGGTGTGGCAGGTTGTGGTCCATACTATCACTGAAGGCCTCTCTGTCGAACTAAAATCTTTGGAACAACTTTCTCAGCTGTTGGGATGCAGTGCACAGAGTGATGCTTAGTAGACTCTGCTCCTACTGTACTGTGTTAAATAGAAGTTGACAGTGCTGAGCAGAGAGCCTTTGTATTTTTGGGTTCTTGAATTAAATGTATGCTGCCTTTACCAAATACTGGGAGGAGGTATTTCTAGGAAAGAGAAGCTGAAGTAGCTAAAATGCTCTTTATTCTGTATGTGGGAGAATTTGTATACCAAGATACAGCCATAGTAAAATCGTGGACGTCTATTTTCTTAAGGATAAGGTTGAATGGCTGATTATGAGGTGACTTTAACTCTGGTTTTTATAGCTTTTTTATGTTATTTTATTTGCTGCGACTGGGGTTTGAATTAAAGACTTAGGCCCCTGCAAAGCAGGCACTCTACTGCTTGAGCCACACATTCAGTTCATTTTGTTCTGCTTATTTTGGAAATGGGGTCTTGCGAACTATTTGCCCTAGCCCTGGAATGGCGATCCTCCCGATCTCGACAGTCCAAGTAGCTAGGATTACAGAAGTGAGCCACTGGCACTAGGCCTGAATTCAGAAATATTTGTAACCTGTCCAGTGGGGTTTATTTCCCCTCAAGTCCACCGAAATACTGCAGGAGAGTGATCTGCCTTTCATTCATCTGCATTTTATTTCATCCTGATAGCCCATTTAGAAAACTTTCTGGTCTTTTTTTCTAAGGATGGATAGAGCTTTTTAGCATAGCTGCATAGGGCAGAACCATCCATTAAGAAGTCCTTTAAAATTTTTTTTTGTCATTTCCTAGATATAGTGTAAAAGAAGAAATTATTAGACTGAGTGCTAAATATCTAGGACATTGTCATTTTGTAAGCTTTTTAAGCCCCTGTTTTTTGTTTCTTTGTTTTTGGAGTATAGTTTGGATACAAAGTTAAACATTTATGTGTCACTTTGTATCTCTGAATAAGGACTTTCTCTGAGCATTAATGGGAGCCATTCCAAGTTTGGTTTCTCCAGTACATACTGAGAGTAGAGGCAAGATTCCATGAATGATTAAACTATTCTGTGTGACAGGGACTTAACTGCCTTGAGCTACTGCCTTCTTTCACCACCCCTGCTACAGTTCCTCCCTGTCCATATGAAATTGAGGGGAGGAATGTGAAGAAGTATCTGAATGTGGTTTGCTTTGTTCCTTGGTGACTTACATTACTGTACAGATACTGTAGTGCTGCATTTTAGGACTGACTTCCCTTGGCAGGCAGCCTTTCCTTTATCTAAGCTTATTAAATCATGGATTTCTTAGGATGTTAACAGTAAACATTCTTAGGATGTTACAGGTAATACAATAAAGATTTAACTTAAAATTTTTTTTCATCCTCCGTACTTTTTTTTCCCAAATCATTTTAATACATACCTTGTGCTAGGTTCATAAGAGTATCCCAGTAAGTATTTGAGTGTTCAAATCATTTGATTAAAGTGTAAAAGGCATTTGATATGTCTGTTAACCAACTAGGAAACACACTAAAGGTGATTACTAGTAAAATACTTGTAATAGTGTAATATATTTATTTGGCAGATTTTTTTTTTTTGGCAGTACTCAGGGCCTCATACTTGCTAGGCAGGCGCTCTACTACTTGAGCTACTTGGACATCCCCTGTCTGGTAGTTTTTAAAATAAATTTCTTTGTACATTTGAGAATAAGTTAGCTTATTATTTCATGGAATTTGCTGTTTGGATGAGTGTTTTGGTTATGATTTATTACTTTATTTATTTATTTAGTGATGCTGGGAATCGAAACCAGGGCCTTGTACATGCTAGGCAGATGTTCTACCATGAGCTAACCACTGCCAGCATTTTTTTTTTTTAATGCAGAGCAATCTTAAAATGCAGACTAAAAAAGTGAGTCTTGTGTGTAAGTCTTATCATTCTCAATTAGATTAATTAGGGGCTTTCTCTTTTAAAGATAATGCTTTTTTTTTCCTTTTCAGTTGAAACTTAAAACTTGCTCAACCTTATTTGTGAACTTGGCCTTTTTCTTCTAAGATTTATGGATTTTAAAACACTGATGAGCTTGAATAGAAATGCAGTTTTTTAAAGAATAAAAAGATTCAGGGAGAGATTGCAAGTCAGAAATGAGGCATATGATGAAAGACCACAGAAGACTGTGGGTGTGGACAAATCCACGGAAACCTGGAATGGCATGTCTTCTCTGAAGTCATTTGTATGTTTAAAAATTATTTTGCAGGCATCTGAGGGTCACCAGTTTGTGAATTTTGGATTAAAGCCATGCGACTGCCAGTGAAATTAATATCCCTTTGTTGTGTGTTAATCCATATGGTGTAGAGAGAGCTTGTTAGAGACTTTCATTAGACACACTCAAATTCTGTGTGTAGTTCTGGGCACCACTTGCATGAGGGCCACTAGTAACAGGAATTTATCCAAGAAAGTATGATGAAATTAAGGTTGAGAGTAGACTTGAAACTCTGTAATCTCAGGAATAATTGAAGGGAGTAGAAATATTTTAGCTTGGCAAAAAAACCCCTCAGTTGATGATGTCATGGCTATCTACTATATAGTACAATATATGTAAATCATATTCTCTCAGATCAGAATCAGGATTGAATGAATGGAGGGGGTAGAGAGATTTTGTCTGTTTAAAATGAAATATTTTTTGAAGCCCTGGGTTACCCCAGTCCCACCAAAAGGAAAAAAAAAAAAAAAAAGATGATAATCTCAGATGTGCCAAAATAGCTATTCTTATTTATGAATGTCATAGAAAAATAGTTATCAGGGGATTTTGTTTGTTTTTGTATTTTAAACCATTCCCATTTGTTAATGTATCAAAAACTTGGGCAAGGAGCATCCTAAGAATGGGAGTTTATATAGGTGCTTTCATATTTGTTTAGTAAATATTTACTGAGCACCTGTCATATGCCCGGTGCCATACTAGCTATTGAGGGAGCACACATTCAGAGTAGATGTGTCACTGAAAAGTACAGTTTGGAGGTTTGTGTATATATATCTGTTCTAGCTGTAGGAGTGTAAGTACGTTTTATTATTCGTATATTATTGTTTAGACTACGTTAAAGTTTAGTTGTTGGAAAGCTTAAGCCAAAAGCATATAAAATCACATTGTCATATACTGTAGAGTGGACCAGACAACTAGCCTATAACAAAAAAAGAAAAATAGCAAAATTTGTAATCAAGGCCAACTCAAGACAACATTGGTGAAACACTGATAAGGCAGATCCTTTTCCAGAATTAAGGATAGTTCAGCTGAGTTTGCATGCACACATTGCAGTAGGAGCTTGTTGATCAAACCTTTTGTTAAATATGGAAGTATTATTCTCCTTGGAAATAATGCTGGGTTTTGTTAAGGATGCAAACTTGAAGTAAAATTTACTAAATTAAAAATGTATCAAACTAACCATTTTTGTCTCTTATTTATCTATTAAGTTTTTTTTTTAATTTTTTTAATTTTTGGGTCTTTTGAGATGAGGTCTCACTATGTAGACCAGGCTAGCCTAAAACTTGTGATCCTCCTGACAGCCTCCTGAATACAGGGCTTGTAGGTGTGTTCCATCACAACAGGCCTACTTTTGTCTTTAAAAGCCAAAATAATTACTTCCGTTTGAGAATCCCAAATGTAATACTTTAAAGCACTGGTTAAGAGGGTAGCTAAACAACTGAGTTTTGTGATCTAGGTTTGAAAAGGATAAGAATATTCATGTTTGAGTAGATCATTTTATAATGTTTTCTGTTGAATAATGGTATAATGTATTTTATTGTGGTTTGTGGTTCTTAAAAGCTAATAATTTTAATTTAGAAGATTTTTTTCTTGCAAAGTAACTTTAGTCACTTATATTTTCATTGATTTTTTTCCTTTTTCTTTTATGTGGTGCTGGGGAATCAAACCCACAGCTTTGCCCATTCTAGACAAGTGTTCCACTCTAAGCTACATCCCCAGTCCTAGCCTCTTGCATTTTAAGTATTTGATGAAAACATAAATGTAGTGCGAAAGTTAGAATCTTAAGTAATTGCTCAATTCATTGGTCACTATGTTATTGTTACTTGACCAAATTTTTTTGGTGATAGATTTCTTGCTGTGTAGCCCAGGCTGGACTTGAACTTTCAATTATCCTGCCTTTATCTTTAAAGTGCTTATGTTAGAAAATTTTAGAAAAATCACTTTACCAAAACTTGAAGGTAGTTATCATTAAGATAGCTGTATTATTAACATGATAATGTCATTCATATTAAATATTTCCACTTGGTGGAAAGCAGAATTCTGTGAGAAAAGAGAAAATGCTCAGTGTATCCCAAAGTAATGTGGAAGTTGTCTCAAATTCATTGTTTCTTATATGATATCCTGTATTTTCTCTTTTAGTGAGAGCACGTACTATAGGTGAACTTTTAGCTCCAGCAGCTCCTTTTGACAAGAAATGTGGTCGTGAAAACTGGACTGTTGCTTTTGCTCCAGATGGTTCATACTTTGCCTGGTCACAAGGATATCGCACAGTGAAGCTTGTTCCATGGTCCCAGTGCCTTAAGAACTTGTAAGTCTTTTTTGTATTTTGTTTTTGGGAATTTACTGCTGTCTTTCAAAGTTGATATTTAAGTTTTTCCTTTGTAGACAGTGTTGTAAATGTTTCTTAATCATAGACTGAATATATTTATTGGAAAATTTGTGTAAAGAATTGTCTGGACTTGGGCTGGAACCCTGAGATCAAGCCCCAGTACTGCCCCCCCCACCCAAAAAAAAGGAATTATCTGGACTTGACACATTGTATTTTCTCAGATGTTTATGTGTCTTTTTAATTTTTTTTTTCTTGTGGTACTGAGATTGGACTCAGGGCTTTGAACCCAGTGCTCTACCAACTGAGCTTTCATACCCAGGCCCTCTTTTATTACTACTTTAGGTCTAAAAGGTGTGGGAAACTGATGGTTATGGTTTGGGGTTGGGGTTTTTTTTTTTTTTTTTAACGACAACATCTTGTTTTGTAGCCTAGGCTAGCCTCAAACTTGTGATCCTCCTGCCTCTGCCTCCTGAGTGCTGCTTGGATTAACTGGCATGAGCTACCATGCCTGGCTGGGTTTTTGCTTTTTAAGGTACCTTTCTGGCATTGGCTTAATAATACCTTAAGTTACTAGAAGCTTTTTTTTTTCTTGATAATAATTCTGTTTTTAGGTTAAAGGAATCTAATTGATAGTCATTTTGAGGAAAACTTAGGAGGCAAACAAGTTACTACTGACATTTTTTCAGCCCCTGAGAAAGTGATCCAAATTTATTTGTAATTCAGATACCAAGTTTCCCTCTTTCCATCTGTAGGATTCTCTTGTTACTCAGTATTGAAATGATTGTATTGATGTTATTTTAACAGACATTTGTAAATGATATCTCTAGGAGTCCAGGGCAAATAAGACTAATTTCACTCTGATTTTTTCCCCCCTTAGTCTCTTGCATGGCACCAAGAATGTTACTAATTCAAGCAGTTTAAGATTGTCAAGACAAAACAGTGATGGTGCTCAGAAAAATAAGCTTCGTGAGCATATTATAGACTGTGGAGATATAGTTTGGAGTCTTGCTTTCGGGTCTTCAGTTCCAGAAAAACAGAGCCGCTGTGTAAATATAGAATGGCATCGATTCAGATTTGGACAGGATCAGCTACTCCTTGCCACAGGATTAAACAATGGTCGCATCAAAATATGGGATGTTTATACAGGTATGGATTCATAGTTTTAAGAGCAAACCTGATTATTTGATGATGCAGAGTGCCACTCATAGGCACTGGAATTTATGAACTGAGGATTTTAACATCAAAAGCAAGAATTGGTATTCTGTGTCTTTATAATTGACCTGAATGGCATCTTTAGCTCATAGTTTTAATTAGAAAGACAATATAAAGTTCACACTACTTGTTTATGCTATGAAGGTATGTCTGGGTAGTATTTTAATTACATACTAATAATTTAGTTTCTGACTTGTAGCAGGGTGTCTTTTTACATACCTTTCAATGATAGCGTAGAAGCTATTAAGGTATATCAGGTTTTAACAATCATTATTTAACCTTCAGATGGTTTTGGTGACTGTTTAATGTTTAAATGTTAAATTCTTTGGGTATGGGCAATTTGTTTAGTTCTTTCAAGCTGTGGTATGATGATGCATGCCTATGATCCCAGCAATCAGGAAGCTGAGGCAGGAGGATTGAAAGTTCAGGGCCAGTCTGGGCCTTATAGCAAGTTCAAGGTAGCCTGAGCTACATAAGAAGATTGTCTCAAAAACCAGGACTAGGGACATAGTTCAATGGAATTCAGTGGTAGAGCACTTGTCTCACATGTATGAGGCCCTGGCTTTGATCACGAGCACCAAGAAAATAATAAAATTAAAAAATTTACTGTCTAAAACAGTTTCTGACATATAATATGTGCTCAAAAATGTAGCCTAATGCTGGTGGCTCACACCTGTAGTCCTAGTTATTCAGGAGACAGAGATAGGAGGCTTGAGGTTCAAACCAGCCCTGGCAGATAGTTCCATGAGACCCTATCTGGAAAAACCCTTCACAAAAAATAGGGATGTTGGAGTGGCTTACGGTAAAGGCCCTGAGTTCAAGCCCCAGTACTGCAAAAAAAAAAAAGGTAAAGGAATTTTAAAATGATCATTAAAACAAGGTGTACTCCAGAACACAGCAAGTAATGTTAACATTGAATGGGAATAATCAATCAAAATTAGATTGGCTTGTTGAAACAAAAAAATCTAGAAAACAAACTCTTATAGCAATAGACAAGTACATTTTTTTCCACTGAGATTGTACCCAAAATTTAAGTTGTGGAATAATACATATCTTTTAGAGTTGGATAATCAATTAGTAAGCCCAGGCCAAGGAAATATAAACAAAGGGAAATACTATTTTTAAATTTTACAATCATACTGTACAAAGATTTAGGTGAAAATGAAGTGTTGTAAAGGTTTCTTTTTTTCTTTTTTGGCAGCACTGGGGTTTTGAACCAGGGTCTCACCCTCCAGGCTCTAAGGCTTGAGCCACACCTCTGCCTAAGGGGTTAATTTAATCTCTAAGAGTTTTACATTTCAGGAATTTCTGTTAATTTTTTTTCTGATAAACATAAGTTTTATTGTCCAGGGAAGAAGTGTCTTAAAAACATTATAAATAGTGAATCCTTACAACTAACAATAATAACACTAATAAATGTTCTAAATATTCTGTGTTTGGTAAACCAAGGATGTATCTATTCACTTTTAAAAAGTAGTTAGCAACCCTGTTTTTCAAAAGTAGAAGCTTATATGAAATATTAATATTGTCTTACTTCCTCCCCCCTTCCATCACATGTAGGAAAACTCCTCCTTAATTTGGTGGACCATACTGAAGTGGTGAGAGATTTAACTTTTGCTCCAGATGGAAGCTTGATCCTAGTGTCAGCTTCAAGAGACAAAACCCTCAGAGTGTGGGACCTGAAAGATGATGGTATGTGTTTATTCCACATTGTAAAAAAGAATTAGCTTCTTAATGTTACTGTTGAGAAGTATTGGGAACGAGAGGACATTCAGCTTTAAAAATGGCTTGTGGCTAGGCCGAGTGTGATGGTACACACCTCTGATCCCAGCACTAGGGAGGCTGTGGCAGGAGGATTGCCAGTTCAAGGCCAGTCTGGGCTACATAGTGAGACCCTGTTTAAAAGGAAAATAAAAATAAAAATAGCGTGCAATCAAGATTTCTTTTTCTCTGTAATCCTTTGGTCATATACAAACAAACATAAATGTGAGCCAGAGTAGGAGCCAAGGGTTAACAAAGGAAGCAGTATGGTAAATTTTGTAACACTTAAATGCTAATAAGCATAGATTAAGAAAGAATTCTTGCTTGGTGCCCCTGTTGTGCACACCTGTAATCCTAGCTACTCAGGAGGCAGAGATCAGGAGGATCCTGGTTTGAAGCCAGCCCTGGGCAAATAGCTTACAAGACTCTATCTCGTATAGAATCTATCACAAAAAGGCTGGTGGAGTGGCTCATGGTGTAGGCCCTGAGTTCAAACCTCAGTACCACCAAAAAAAAAAAATTCTATAAAATGTAACATTTATTTATTTACCCTCCAATATAGTAGAAAGGTGTGTTTTGGTGTCAAGTACTTAGCTTTTTCTGATACTTGATATCTGTGATGCTCATAAAGTTTTGGAGGGCCTATCTTGTTTGAGAGGATCAGACATGAGCATCTCTTCTCCTTTCTTATAACCTAATGAAAATTTACATTTTAAACTAAAACTTTTATTTAAATAGGACAGGCTGGCACTCTAGCAGTCTCACATGGGAATTTGACAGCTTTGCCTAGAAGTAAATTAGCTTAACTTGAATATAGTAGGAACTTCCCCCGCCATATTTAAAGCCTTTGTTCCAGCTGATGTATAGTAACTATATGAGTTACCTTCTTCTGTATTTTATCAGTTCTGAGTGGTCAGCTGTTGTGTGTTGTGAGTATAATATAAACAATGGACTTTGGAGAAGAATGTAAGTTACCAAAATGGAAATATGAAAAGGCATTTTGAAGATGTTCAAATTTTTTTTTTTTTTTTTTTTTGGCGGTACTAGGGGTTAAACCCAGGGCCTCTCTTGCTAGGTAGATGCTCTATTGCTTGAGCTAAGCCCCCAGCCCTTTTTTGCTTTAATTATTTTTCAGGTAGGGTCTTGTATTTTTGCCTGGGGCTAGCCTCAGATTGTAATCTTCCTACCTATACCTCCCTCATAGCTGGGATCACAGGTACATGCCACCATACGTGGCTTATTGATTGTGATGGGGCCTCACTTTTTGCCCAGGATGGACTCAAATTGTGGTCCTTCCGATTACAGTAGGAACAGCTGCACCTGGCTCTTGCTATGTTTTTGTTGGCCTTGAGCTAGCGATCTTGTCTCCGCTTCCTCAGTAGCTGGGATTGTAGCTGTGAATTTCCATGCCCAGCCATGGAAATGTTCAAGTCTTTTAAACTTGCCATATTTCAATCCCTTCATTTGCACAATTAGAGAATTGTACTAAAAGAATTCTGTCTTCAGTAGGCATGGGCTACTCGTGCCTGTAATCCTAGCTCTACTTGGGAGAATTGCAGTTCCAGGCCAGCCTGAGCAAAAAAGTTAACAAAATCCTATCTCAATGGACAAAAGAAAAGCTGGGCCTGGTGACATGTGTCTGTCAATGCCAACAGTGACAGGAAGTCTAAACTAGATGGTTTAGTCCAGGCTAGCCTGGGCAAAAAGCAAGATAAAAAGCTGTCTCCAGAATAACCAGAGAAAAAGGACTGGAGATATGGCTCAAGTGGTAGAGTACCTGCTTAAGCAGTATAAAGCCTTTTGTTCAAACCTCCCCCCAAGCTGTCTTTATCAGTGGAGGGTCACAGATCCCCCACCTGTCCCAGTACTGGGGTTTGAATTCAGCATTTCAAGCTTGCTACAGATATATTTTTTTAAGGGATTAGATAGTAGGTTAAAGGTTTGTGGACTATACTGTGTCTGCCATAGCAGTGTACCATAAACAAATGGGCATAATTGGGTTCTAATAAAATTTTGTTTGCAAAAATTGGCAGCTGGCATTATCTTACTAATCCCTATTGTGGATACATGGTTTTGAGCTGTAAAAGGTTGGGATGGTATGACTCACTACCATTTTGAAGTGCTCCTTGTTTGAAATGCATTCTTGGGTTGACACAGACGCTTCTTTCTGTTAGGAAACATGATGAAAGTACTGAGGGGGCATCAGAACTGGGTGCACAGCTGCGCGTTCTCTCCTGACTCTTCTATGCTGTGTTCAGTTGGAGCCAATAAAGCAGTAGGTGTCAAAGTTCTTGTACATTTGTTGTGAATTGGATTATAATGTGTGCATAATCATTTTAAATCTAAGTAAACTATTAAGTCTGTGCTCGGTGTCATGAATATCCTAAATTTTTATTTCATGATGGGAGAATTTGCATGTAGGAAATTAAATGTAGTTATTAAGCAAGAGTTTGAATTGCTCTTAGATATAAAATGCGGGGTATGTCAAATTTATGTTTTGTAAGATGTAGAAAAGCTTATGCACTATAGAAGGGATCTAGTGCACATGATAAGACCTTCCCTTGCTAATTATTTTCTTCTCTGTTGTTCTATTTTTTTTTGTTTTTTTTGTCCAGTTTGCTGTTTTTAAAGTCCCAGCTGGTCCTGGACATTTAACAGAAAAAAAAGTAACTTAGAAACATAACAGTGATAAAGAAAATAGTACTCATGTATGTTCTAGAGCGAAGCATAGATGTCTGACATAGCATACCTGTAGATAACTTAAGTGACTCTTAAGAGGACTATGCTTATTAATGAACTCTGTTTTAGTTGTTCACCAGCTCTGCCTTAGCATAAAGGGGTCTTACTAGCTTCAGGTATTTAAGAAATGGTTGAAGTCCAAATATACTTTGAATTAATTGGGGGGGGGGCTAGTTAAAATGCATTTTATTTTGCTAAGAGGTATGCTAAAATGATAGTTGCAAATGTTGGAAGTTTAGAACAAAGTACTCAGTTTAGATCTTTAAAATCATAAGAAGAACAAAGCTAGATATTGACATTGCTATTTTAGGCTGTGTGTTTTCCATATGCTTCTTGCTTTCCCTGTCACAGGTGGTGGCAGCAATATTGGTGTGATTGAGGTTATGCTGGCACCACTCGCACACAGGCGCACAATGGTGTTAGCTGGGCAGAAAGAGTGGCATCTCTGGCTACCGGGCTGGGGGCGACCTTTACCATAGGATGAAGTAACCTTGCATTCGGCTGCAAGGTGTACTGTACGTACACAGGTGCTGGTCGATGTCCACTTTCTGCTTTTCTTTCTTTCTTTTTTTTCTTTTTAAAAATAATTTTCCCCAGAGTAAAATCCAATGACTCCTCCGAGTAAGTTGATTTTCCATTTTGATGAAATTGGGAGTCTGACAAGTGAAACCAATTTAATGTAAAGTAATTGGCTTCCAAATGGTTTCTCTGTACTGTTTTTTGGAATCCTTTAAGATGCTAGAGATGCTTTAAATCTTTGATCCAATTTAAAATTTGTACTTATTTTCCTTTGGAAGTAATATATTGTGTCTGTGCAGAAAAAAGTAGCAAAAAGGATTGCTTTACTCCAAGAGGAGAGATCGTTTTATTAGGATTGTTGGAAATCTCCAAGTTTATTAATATTGTAACAGACTAAAGTAAACATTCAAATCCTATTTAGAACTATTCTGCACAATCTAACTACTGATGTCTAGAATCTCAAACTGTATGTGAACTTACTCTTAAATAATTTAACTGTTTGATACTGAAAGTGACTAATGATTATAGTCAGTTTGGGAAAAGTAAGATTGGTAAATGTTGATTCACAGAAATGTAATTGTATTATTTTTGTAAAATAGCATTGTCATATTGTAATGTGGTTTAACATCCTTGTTGTTTGCCAAAGAAATTTCATTTGGCTATGAAAATTCTCTTTGCTTGCAGTATCTGTTTCTCTTCCTAGGCTCACGTTGGTGACCCAAGCCTTTTGTAAACAAGTGATTATCTCAAAGGGAGATGCCAATGGAGTAACAATTTGTTAACCTTACGTTTTCTGTCTGTATATATTTTTCTTAAATTTGGTAGTTTCTGGAAAAAAGAAGGGGTGTGTAGAACTTAACTCTATTTCTGTATATTTTTGTTAATTAGTTTTTGGAATAAATGGATTTCAGTATAACTTTGTGGTTAAATTGCAATTCCTTTATTTTATGTTTAGGCTTTTTTAAAATTAACATTTAACAGAAACATTTGAAATAGAATTTGCATGTCTGTTTTAATTAACTTTAAGACTGATTTTAATCTGACTATGACACTGAGCATATTCTTTTAATTACTCATAATTTACAATGTTTAATTTAATGTAATCTTAATTAAATTTAGCAGTTTTAGTTTAAGATGTGCCATTTTCTTCTCTGTATTTCCGAATGAAGCTATAACATCTGCCTATTTATTGCAGGTCTTCCTTTGGAATATGGATAAATACACCATGATACGGAAACTAGAAGGACACCATCATGATGTTGTAGCTTGTGACTTTTCTCCTGATGGAGCATTACTGGCTACTGCATCCTATGATACTCGAGTGTATATCTGGGATCCACATAATGGAGACATTCTAATGGAATTTGGGTGAGTACAGCATGAATTATTTTAGCCTGTCATCCATCACTGGCTATCGCTATAGCTATTTATTTACTTTTGATGAAACCGTTTTGAACTCACACTTACAGAGCAGGTACTCTACTGCTTGAGCCACATCTCCGGTCCATTTGTTGTAGTTATTTTGGTGATGGGGTCTCTTAAACTATTTGTCCCATCTGGCCTCCAAATGAAAAAATCCTCCTGATCTCTGCCTCAAAGAAGCTAGGATTATAGATGTGAGCCACTGGCGTACATGACCCTTATGTGAACAGGTACAGTCACAAACATATGAAACCTAACATCACAGTTGGCCATAATTTAAATTTTCCTGTTACTTAAGCCCTTGAATAATGCAAAGCTTAAGATATAAATTCTAAAAATAAGGAAAAAAATTCTAGTAATAAATTTGGCTTTCATGATATATAAGTCTTGCTGTTTAGCAATACCTAGCTCTGTGGAAATGATTATTTAGAGTTTAATGTTGGGAAAAAAGCAGTTAAAACCAAAGCTGGACTTAATTTTAGTGCCTTAAATCATATTATGAAAAAAAGAGATTGGTAATTCTTTCACAGTCCCTGGCATTTAGTATATCAGCTCTACTCAGTCTCTTGGTTATATTCGTTAAGGCTACTTTAAATCTCATTCAGAGACAAATGTATTTTTGTACCTGGGTAGTTTTGTTTCTTGAAGTGATTCTGATACCCACTGAAAACATGTATTTGACCTTAGGCACCTGTTTCCCCCACCTACTCCGATATTTGCTGGAGGAGCAAATGATCGATGGGTACGATCTGTATCTTTTAGTCATGATGGACTCCATATTGCAAGCCTTGCTGATGATAAGTAAGTGTGTGAATTATAATTTGACTTTCCTATTACTGCCTTTTAAAGATTTCCTTTCACCCTTCTATTTAATGAAAACATTAAGTCATAGAAGCTTTCTATAGCTAGAGTTTTTTGGGGGGGGTTGGGGAAGAGACAGGGTCCCTCTTTGTAGCCTAGGCTGGCCTCAAACTCAAGATCCTTCTGTCTCAGCCTCCCAAGTGCTGTGATTATAGGTGTATACTACCATGCCTGATCTATAACTAGGGTTTTTAATGTCTCTTTTTCTAGACAAGACCTTAGATGTTGGGGTATCTTAGAGAATGTTGGCCTAAACAGTATCTGTGTAAGTTAATGATAGTACATGCCTTCCCTGTGTTCCTAATTTAACTACTTTAGGCAAACTGGGCAGGTCTGAATGCTAGATAGGGAGGAAGCCATATGTGGAGCAGATCCCAAGTACCAGCTGGTACAGATATAAAATGTTTTTATAAAGCAGGCTATCGTGGTGTGTATGTATTTTATGACTGGGAACACTGGCATTTCTTCCTGAATTTTAAAAGTTGTTTTTACCTTCAATTTCCTAGTAGAGGCTCACTTGGTAATCTGTTTCCCTTCCAGAATGGTGAGGTTCTGGCGGATTGATGAGGATTATCCAGTACAAGTTGCACCTTTGAGCAATGGTCTTTGTTGTGCCTTTTCTACTGATGGCAGTGTTTTAGCTGCTGGGTAAATATGTTTTTCTTTATTTTGTTTTTTTTAAGGGGCAAGTTAAGGTAACTTTTTAGGTAAAGCAGCCAGTAGTTCATTGTCAGCACTGTAAACTGTCTTTATGATTCTGTTGTAGAATATACATCATTGGTTAGTTCTTCTTATGTATAGCCTTGGGTGGTGCTCGTTTGAGCAGTAGTTCATGTCCTTGGGTGATGGAATTTACGCCGTTTTGGTTTCTGTTTAGGACACAGGATGGAAGTGTATATTTTTGGGCCAGTCCAAGGCAAGTTCCTAGCCTTCAACATTTATGCCGCATGTCAATCCGGAGAGTAATGTCCACCCAAGAAGTCGAGGACCTGCCAGTTCCTTCCAAAGTGTTGGAATTTCTCTCTTACCGTTTTTAGAAGATGCTGCCTTCCCCAATGTGGGGACTGACAGGATACACTTCACAGAAACCCCACGCTTTACTGACTTCACGTATCTGTTTTTAAAGGGTTAGAAAATTTATTTAATTTGATACATTCTTGTACTTCATTTTCATTAGTCAAGCTTTTAGAATATTATTTATGTACCATACAAGAAATATTTCTAAACATATCAACTGTAATTTTTTAAAGATTAACTGTGAAAACATATATAACATGTATATATTTAGGCATTAGCTGCTATGTGTTGAATGGACCCTTCTTTTTTTAATTTTTAGTTTTGACTATATGTAATGCTTCAGTACAGCCACAATATATATCTGTGTTGTAAAAGTGGAAGGAATTTTTTTTAAAAATTAGATGATAAATAATTGATTTACAAAAGCTGAATTGCCTCAATACAAAATGAATTTGGTCAGGGGGGAGGGTGACTAACCTGTAAGTGAGACTATTTTTATATAGGGAAAGGATTTTATTTTCCTTAGGCATGGTGTCTGACAGGTGGAGTTCAAATGTGACATTATTTAAAACATAAATAAATTAAGGAAAAGGGTGTCTTCTCCTCACCCCTCCATATTGCTGTGGGCCTTAATTTTGGAAAGCAGCTTATATCTTACCCTGTTAATATAAAGTATTACACATTTTTGCCAGTTTGAAAGATACATCTACTGTACTATTGCTAAATATTTTGTTTATATTAAGGGGCAACTATTTTAAGACCATGTTTTTTCTTGTTTTGTTTTAACACATATTTTGTGTTTATAAAATATGATATTGGTGGGCTGGCGAAGTGGCTCAAGTGTTAAGAGCGCCTGCTATTATTTTAAAAAAGGGGGGGGGGCCTGCATAGCAAGTGTGAGGCCCTGAGTTCAAACCCCAGTGCCACCATAAAAAAGATATTAGTGACTTGCCAAAGAGAAGCAATGTAGCTTATCTACTTTTGCCTTCTGTTATTTATCTTATCTGCAGTTATCAAGGATGTATATATTTTTGTTGAGTTTTTTAATTAAAGACTTGTAAAAAGAGTGTATTGGATTTATTTTATTTATTTATTTAATTTCTTTTGTGAGACTGGTGTCTGAACTCCCACTTGCAAAACATGTACTCCACTGCTTGCCTCCAGTTTGTTTTTCTGTGGCTATTTAAGAGATGGCGGTCTCATGACCAGGTGGCCTTGAACCACAATCCTGTCAGTCTCTCAGTCTCCCAAATTGCTGGGAATATAGGTATGGGCCACCAGTGCCCGGCTTGGGAATGCTTTGTAAGTAAGTGTGGTGGAGGATGTGGGGCTCTTTGTCTCTCTTCATTGTAAGATTGATGGAGGGCCACAAGCAACAATGACAAAGAAGCAGTGCAAGAGTAGAACATTGCTTTTGTTCTGAGGCAGCTGTTGTAGTAAAGCTTATTAATTAAAAGCCCCTAAAACTGTAGAACAGAAGAGAATAACTACTAAGCAAAATAAAAATATGGTCTTTTAGGGGAACTAGCAGGTTTATGGTACACCTTTGTGGTTAAAGTATATATAAGAAAAGTCTAGTGGTCTGGGTCCTTTAAGAAGGCAAAAAAACCCCAAAAACAAAATTTTAATATATTAGCCTTGTATCATCTTAAAAGATTTGCACTGAGATTATTTGAAAGTTCCTACAGTTAGCTGTGGTAAGGGATTTGAAAAGCATATGGATGTAGAGCATGAATTTGAAAGCCAGGAGAAAATTTTTCCAAGAAACTTCCTGAGGGTCATCTATATTTTACAAAAAGTAAAAAGCATTTTACTCTTGAAACCTCTTGGGACTTTTTCTTTGCATTTTACTTTGTAATATATCTGCTTTCTAGTTTGAAAATAAGATACCATTACTCACTCTCCACACTATTAAGTTATTTACTTTCCATAGCAATATCCCACTCAGGTAAAGGCATTGATTAGAAGATATATTATCAGCTGGGCACCGGTGGCTCACTCCTGTAAACCTAGCCCCTCAGGAGGCAGAGATCAGGAGGATCATGGTTGAAAGCCATCCTGGGCAAATAGTTCCGTGAGACCCTATCTCAAAATAACCCTTCGCAAAAAAGGGCTGGTGGAGTGGCTGAAGGTTTCCCTGAATTCAAGTCCCAGTACGGCAAAAAAAAAAAAAAATCTGTTTGAGATGGCCATGGTTGTCTGCAACCATTTTTTGTGAGCACTGTAGTGCCAGTAAGATGGGTACATCGGAGAATTTAAGTCAAGTAAGAGATGCTTGAATTTCCATTTGTCTATGCAGAAGAACCTAGTAACATAATACTTTGGGCTGAGTGACCAAAGGGAGGTGGGGAAGAGGTGGTTGGGCTTTTGACTAGGATCAGGTTGTTAGCTACATGATTTTAAATTGATACTAATTCAGTTGCAATTTGGTTTCCTGCTTTATACCCTGTAAGGGTGCATGTGAATGCAGGAAAATGTCTCTCTATCCCATACTCAATAGTTAAATCATTTGAAGGCTTGTAACTTCAAGCCTTCTTGAAAAATCTTGATAAATCTCAAGTTTATGACCCTTGAAATGCCCTGCCTGCTTGTGATGGAGATTGGATTCAGCTGGCTTGTAATGCCCTCAGGGCAGCAAGACTAAAAGGGCCCAGAGAAAACTAGCATGCTTCTTGGGCAAGGCCGAGGTGCTGGCAGCCAGCCAGCACAAGAATAAGAACAAACAAAGCCCAAGAAGATCAGCATTGTCTAATAAACCTGAAACCCATCAAACTGCAAGTCCAACCTCATGGCCATCAGAGCAAAGGTTTGTAGGTTTGTAGTTTGTAGGTGAGATTGCACCAGTGAGAGACCACATTTTAACTATGGAATGTATAGATCATACAAAGTTACAGTACAGTCATGAGTTCTTTTTATTATATGTCAGTGATAAAGTCAAGGATAGGTTTTTGTCTTAAAATTGTTGGCAGCAAACAACAAAATGGCACTTGGAGAAATGGTTATCGGAACCTTGTCCCCTGTTTACGTAAGATGCATGGAGGAGGATGAATAAACAGCCCTTTGCTCTATGAAGCTTCCCCTTAGCCAAAAGCAAAAATCCGGTCTGAGCCAGATGTAAAGTGGTGCGTTTCTGTTACAGTTGGCTGGGTAGCTTTGTGTGATTGTCATTTGACATTTAATAGGGTGAACAATTGAGGAATCAGAAAAATACTGAGGATGGAATGGGGGAGGGACAATTCAATTTTTATTAACTGTACTTTTCCTGTTGGAGACAACTATTACGATTACCCTTGTGGTTTAATGATAGAAATCACAGCTTCCAGGCTGGGGATGTAGCTCTTGGGTAGAGTGCTTGTCTTATACGTGTAAGGCCCCTGAGTTATCTCCACTGTTACTTAGAGAAGTTTTCTTCTGATCCGAAAGTACGCCCTAGGCTTTGTTAGGAAATCCTGTATTACACGGTCACCTGTCACTATCATAGTGGCTTTTTCAACTGAGGCTCAAGTATAGTGTCTCTTTAAAATTGTCCTTCAGTGATTAGGCACTGTGACTCACCTCTGTGATCCTAGCTACTGGGGAAGTGGAGATTGGAGGGATTATGGGTCAAGGTCAGCCCGGGGCAAAAAGTTGGGGTGTGTTGGACTGTGTCTGTCATCCCAGCTATGTGGGAAGCATAAATAGGAGGATCAAGGTCCAGGCTGTCCTGGGCATAAAAGGGAGACCCGATTTGAAAAATAACTAGCACAAAGAGTGCTGGGACTGTGGCTCAGTGGTAGAGTGGTAGAGCTTGCCTAGCAAGCACAAGGCCATGAGTTCAAACCTCAGTACTGGCAAAAGAAAATTGTCCTTCAAGAATAAAGTGTGCGCTATACAATTATCTAGTGTAGGTCAGAAAATAGGACAGATTGATAACAGCTATTCCAGTAAGTTGCTTGTTTCCCAATTGTTGATTATTAGTGAAATGTTTTTCTTTCATATTTGTTAACAAATTCTATGAAGAGAGTTCATTGTGATATTTACATTCATGCATATAATATACTTTGATCAGATTCAAAGTATGCTTTGAATCTATATTACTCTTAATGAAATGTTTTTATGCAAAATGAAAGAATAAGGATGATGTAAGTATTAAGAGATGACTGAGCTGGGCACTGGTTGTTCATACCTGTAGTCTTAGCTATTTGGGAGATTGAGATGGGGATATTGAGGTTCAAGACCAGCCAGGGAAAATAGCTTGAGAGATTCCCATTTGCAAAATGACCAGAGCAAAATGGACTGGAGGTGTGGCAGAAGAGGTAGAGCGCCTGCTTTGCAAGTGTGAAGCCCTGAGTTCACACCCCAGTCTCACCAAAAAAAAAAAAAAAAAAAAAAGATGAGGAAGATGATACAAAATAGAGCCAGGAATGGTATATATAAAATGGAAACTATAATGACTTATATTGCACTAAGCCAAATCTTTGGCCCTAAATATAAAATGGGAAGCTTGCTAAGTTGTATGGTCCACAGTATACATCTCAGTAATTGTTGAGGAAAAAGACAGTTACTGCTTACGTACGATGTTATTGACTGTATATTATGGGCCACCAACCCACTCATATGTTGAGATTGTAATCCCTGATGAGATGGTATTAGGAATGGGGGGGGCCTTTGGAGGTGATTATGCTGGAAGGGTGGAAACTTCACAATGGATTAATGTCCTAAAAGGACCCCAGAGAGCTCTCTTCATCCTGTAAAGATACAATGGGAAGATGGTGGCAGAAGAGAGCCCTCAGCAGAACCCTGACGTCAGACTTACAGCCTCCAGAATTTCAAGAAATTTCTGTTGTTTCTAAGCTACCCAATCTGCAGTACTTAAGACCATAACACTATACGACCAGCAAGAATACTTCCTTAAAATGAATTATTTGGGTATAAGTTCTGCTATACCACATAGTACCCTCTTCTGGGGATTCTCCATTGGGGCTCTTCCTCTAAGACCCCTAACGTTTGGCAGGATCTACATAGGTTTTAAGTTTTCCCTTGATACCAGTGGAGCGCAGAAACAAGTTGGCAGCCATTACTGTGGGCATTTGGGGTTGCAGGGGTGCAAAGGCAGCATGGGAAAAGGGGCCAGGAAGCCCCCAAGTCAAAGGCTCCCTCTCCCCATTGCATGACATCAGCCTGTTTTTGTTCTACTTCACAACATGCCCAGGCCTGTACTTGTTTGAGTTTTATGACCCATTATGTAAATGGCCTCTTTTTGGTGGTCACAGATAAGCTGCTGCCAGCCTAGAGTAGTCTTGCCCTTTCTGGAATTCCACCAGAGTCCTAATTAACTGTTACTAGTTAATTATTCTTATGTCTCATTGATGTTTCATTTAGAAGGCAAATTCCTTACATTTAAAGGCATCTGCACCTTTCTCCCACAGCCTCTGTCCCTGGCTGGCATTTTGGTCACAGGGACTGATTCTTGACCCCCAAGGAAAGATGAGAGGCCAGCCTGCTTCTGGTCAGCACTCAAGGAAGTATCCCTTGAGTTGGGAGTTTGGATGAGCGGCCCAGGACCTGATTCCCCAGTTTATGTTGGGTGGAGGAAACAGTTCTCCCAGACTGGGTCACACTGCTCCATAGCTGGCAAAGACTGGGACTTGTCTTGGCCCCATCTGGCTTCGGATCCAGGAGGATGTGCATATCTCAGGTTGGCTGCGTTCCTAGTGCCAGGGACTGCTGCCCAGAGGACATTGCAGAAGTGGTGGCTAGACTGCAGTCCAAGAAAGACTGGGATGATTGCTAGCTTGGCTGCTTAACAGCTTGTAACTTTTGGAGTGTTGATAGAAAAATGCTATCATAATGGCTCTACACGAGCAGTGCTTAGCTTTTATTTCATATCTGCACAGTGTTGGGTCAAGGGAGGCACTTGACATTTGTTATTGCCATTTGATGAGCACTGCTCATGTGTTCATTGCTAGTCCTGATGCTTTTCAACAGTGGTGTGAAGTATTATCCTCATTGTGTAACTGAGGAGGTTCAAGACACCCCTCACTACTCTGGTGGAACAGGTGTGAGATGATGATCTTGAGGTATGAGACGAGGCTCTGTCTGCAGAGCCCTGTTTCTCTGTAAATGGCCATGACTGGGCACTAGAGTTTACAGAAAGCACTCAATCAACATCAGACTCCTAAATTAGTCCCTGCCTGTACCTTTGCCAGTTGCCTGTGGCCAGCCAAGATGTCAGGCTCACCCTTTTCCAATACACCCTACCTTTTACTGAATCATGGAAAAAACAAACACTGGAGTAACTGAAACACACATAGACAAAATGACTATTGTGCCCCGTCCTTTGCCCGCTGCCTGGGGAAATTACACTGGTAGTTCTTTTTCTTCTACACTGCTCGCAAACAAATCATTTTTATTGCTCATGTGACAAGTCCAACGCAAACCAGCTGTAGCAGGATGTAGCAAAGCAGTCCCTGGAGGTGAGAACTCTGCTGGCCTTGCAGAGTAGGGGTTGAAAATCAACAGGACCCCTTCTGCCAGCTGTGCAGGGCAAGACTGGTCTTGCCTGCCTGG